GGAGGCCTGATATTACTTAACAGTTTGTTTTTGTTACTTTAAGTCTCTTGTTCATCTTTGAGGAGTTTGCCCAGCATTCATGGCCATATAGGAGGGCTGGTATTACTTAACAGTTTGTTTTTGTTACTTTAAGTCTCTTGTTCATCTTTGAGGAGATTGCTCAGCATTCATGGCCATATAGGAGGCCTGGTATTATTAACAGTTTGTTTTTGTTGCTTTTAAGTCTCTTGTTCATCTTTGAAGAGATTGCCCAGCATTCATGGCAATATAGGAGGCCTGGTATTACTTAACAGTTTGTTTTTGTTACTTTAAGTCTCTTGTTCATCTTTGAGGAGATTGCTCAGCATTCATGGCCATATAGGAGGCCTGATATTACTTAACAGTTTGTTTCTGTTGCTTTAAGTCTCTTGTTCATCTTTGAGGAGATTGCTCAGCATTCATGGCCATATAGGAGGCCTGATATTACTTAACAGTTTGTTTCTGTTGCTTTAAGTCTCTTGTTCATCTTTGAGGAGATTGCTCAGCATTCATGGCCATATAGGAGGCCTGATATTACTTTTAACAGTTTGTTTCTGTTGCTTTAAGTCTCTTGTTCATCTTTGAGGAGATTGCTCAGCATTCATGGCCATATAGGAGGCCTGATATTACTTAACAATTTGTTTCTGTTGCTTTAAGTCTCTTGTTCATCTTTGAGGAGATTGCTCAGCATTCATGGCCATATAGGAGGCCTGATATTACTTAACAGTTTGTTTCTGTTGCTTTAAGTCTCTTGTTCATCTTTGAGGAGATTGCTCAGCATTCATGGCCATATAGGAGGCCTGATATTACTTAATAGTTCAGTACACATTTTTGTTTCTGTTGCTTTAAGTCCCTTCTTCATCTTTGAGGAGATTTTCCAGTATTCACTGCCGTACAGTAGGACTGATATTATATAACAGTTTAGTACTCTTTTCTTTGTTTCTCTTGATTCAAGTCTCTTCTTCATTTGTGTGGATATTGTCGAGCATTCACTGCCATATAGGAAGACTGATACTACATAACAAGAAGAGTACTGAATTGTTATATATCATTCCTCCTATATGACACTCGAATCCGCATGTCTATTGTTCCGTATTAAACCCTATTTACTTATTAGATGTTTGTTTACGCTATTTACATTGTCCTCGTCTTTGTTGCCATATTCACGGCTTTTCGGCCAATGTAAACTAAAGCCTTCTTCAAGGGATTGGAATTTCGGACTGAACCCTTTATTTCCTCCACAGGGGTATATTGTTCTCGTTTCACGTGCCATGCCTCTTCAGAATGTCTCATTATCAGTAATCTCTCTTTTAAGTCGTCTCTCCAAGTTTTTGTTCACATCTGCTGTAGTCAGGTATTGAACTCACAACTCTTTGAACCAAGTCACAACATCCCAATCACCTGAAAAGAGCCGGAGCGTACAATGGCCGAAACAACGTGAATATTGCAACGAAGATGGGGATAATAGTCCAAACAATGTAAATAGTGTAAATAACTATACAATCTATACAATGATCGGCAGATCGGCAGATCCTGAAGAAGGCCGGAGCATACAATGGCCGAAACGTTGTGAATATGACAATAAAGGTGAGGACAACAGTCCGAACAATGTAAATAGTGCAAATAATTATAATACTTCATCTCAGAAATATAGACAGATATTGAAGAATAATTTTATATTTATAAAATCGTAAAAACTAATACAATTAAAAGTAATGCTCGTTCTGGGTAAAACGTTAAATTACATCCGCCTCCTGGGCAAGACGTTAAACTACGTCCAGCATCAAGGCTTCTCATCAGGAGGTTTTGAGGGGCGTTGAACCATCTCTTAATTGCTGGTGTTCCCAGGTCCACCCTGACACGAGGTGGTAGCACCTGTTAGGGTCTCAGCCATGGGCAAATACTTAAGTATTACCAGCAATACATTTTCGAAAAAAATATTACCAGCAATTCAATGGTTTCAAAAAAATTTTTTCAGGATTGGGTAATCCATTGATGTTGATATACTGTAAAACAAAATAAACCAAACCAATCTAAACCAAAGAATACATATTCTATTTATACGAATCTAAAAAAAATGTTGTCGGCATTAAATAACCCATTGAGGTTGATATGCTGTAAAACAAAATAAACCAAACCAATATAAACCAAAGAATACATATTCTATTGAATCTATCCTAAAAATGTTGTTGGCATTAAATAACCCAATGCCGTAAAAAAAATAAACCAAAGAATACATATTCTATTCAAACGAATCTATCCTAAAAATGTTGTCGGCATTAAATAACCCATTGAGGTTGATATGCCGTAAAACAAAATAAACCAAAGAATACATATTCTATTCATACGAATCTATCCTAAAAATGTTGTCGGCATTAAATAACCCATTGAAATTGATATGCCGTAAAACAAAATAAACCAAACCAATCTAAACCAAAGAATACATATTCTATTCAACCGAATCTATCCTAAAAATGTTGTCGGCATTAAATAACCCATTGAGGTTGATATGCCGTAAGCCAAAAAAAAACAAACCAATCTATACCAAAGAATACATATTCTATTCATACGAATCTATCCTAAAAATGTTGTCGGCATTGAATAAACTATTGAGGTTGATATGCTGTTAAGCAAAATAAATCAAACCAATCTAAACCAAAGAATACATATTCTGTTCATACAAATCTATCCTAAAAATGTTGTCGGCATTGAATAACCGATTGAGGTTGATATGCCGTAAAACAAAATAAACCAAACCAATCTAAACCAAAGAATACATATTCTATTCATACGAATCTATCCTAAAAATGTTGTCGGCATTAAATAACCCATTGAGGTTGATATGCCGTAAAACAAAATAAACCAAACCAATATAAACCAAAGAATATATATTCTATTCATACGAATCTATCCTAAAAATGTTGTCGGCATTAAATAACCCATTGAGGTGTTGATATGCCGTAAAACAAAATAAACCAAACCAATATAAACCAAAGAATATATATTCTATTAATACGAATCTATCCTAAAAATGTTGTCGGCATTAAATAACACATTGAGGTGTTGATATGCCGTAAAACAAAATAAACCAAACCAATATAAACCAAAGAATATATATTCTATTCATACGAATCTATCCTAAAAATGTTGTCGGCATTAAATAACCCATTGAGGTAGATATGCTGTAAAACAAAATAAACCAAACCAATCTAATCCAAAGAATACATATTCTATTCATACAAATCTATCCTAAAATGTTATCGGCATTAAATAACCCATTGAGGTGTTGATATGCCGTTAAACAAAATAAACCAAACCAATCTAAACCAAAGAATACATATTCTATTCATACGAATCTATCCTAAAAAACGTTGTTGGCATTAAATAACCCATTGAGGTGTTGATATGCCGTAAAACAAAATAAACCAAACCAATCTAAACCAAAGAATATATATTCTATTCATACGAATCTATCCTAAAAATGTTGTCGGCATTAAATAACCCATTGAGGTGTTGATATGCCGTAAAACAAAATAAACCAAACCAATCTAAACCAAAGAATATATATTCTATTCATACGAATCTATCCTAAAAATGTTGTCGGCATTAAATAACCCATTGAGGTTGATATGCCGTTAAACAAAATAAACCAAACCAATTTAAACTAAAGAATATATATTCTATTCATACGAATCTATCCTAAAATGTTGTCGGCATTAAATAACCGATTGAGGTGTTGATATGCCGTTAAACAAAATAAACCAAACCAATCTAAACCAAAGAATACATATTCTATTCATACGAATCTATCCTAAAAATGTTGTTGGCATTAAATAACCCATTGAGGTGTTGATATGCCGTAAAACAAAATAAACCAAACCAATATAAACCAAAGAATATATATTCTATTCATACGAATCTATCCTAAAAATGTTGTCGGCATTAAATAACCGATTGAGGTTGATATGCCGTAAAACAAAATAAACCAAACCAATCTAAACCAAAGAATATATATTCTATTCATACGAATCTTTCCTAAAAATGTCGTCGGCATTAAATAACCCATTGAGGTTGATATGCCGTAAAACAAAATAAACCAAAGCAATCTAAACCAAAGAATACATATTCTATTCATACGAATCTATCCGAAAATGTTGTCGATGCCGTAAAACAAAATAAAACAAACTAATTTAAAAATATTTTCTATTGAGAATTTATCTGGAAAAATGTTGTATGCCGTAAAAAACAAAAAATAAACCAAACCTAATCTAAACCAAAGAATATATATTCTATTCATACGAATCTTTCCTAAAATGTTGTCGACATTAAATAACCCATTGAGTTTGATATCCCGTAAAACAAAATAAACCAAACCAATCTAAACCAAAGAATACATATTCTCTTCATACAAATCTATTCTAAAAATGTTATCGGCATTAAATAACCCATTGAGTTTGATATGCCGTAAAACAAAATAAACCAAAGCAAACTAAAACTAATGCAATATTTATCATTTACCGATTTAGAAAGAAGTAAATATGAAAACAATTTTTGTTCATAAATTTAGGAAGTTACTATATTATTAGAATATGAGGGTCAATTCTAAGGAAATCATTATTTACTATTTTATAAATTTTAAATCAATTGTCATTTAGCGAATTGTTTTGCCTATCATTGCAATAAGCCATGCATTCTAATTACATTTTTCCATTTTCTTTCTTTCCTTATTTCTTTCTTTTCTTCTTTCTTTCTTTCATTTTCCAAGTTTCTTCCTTTATTTCTTTCTCCCTTTTCCCTATTTTTTTCCTCGTTTTCCCAAGTTTCTTACTTTTTTCTTTCTTTCTTTTGTCCAGTTTTTCTTTTTCTTTTTCTTAGTTTCTTTCTTTCTTCTTTTCTCTAGTTTCTTTTTTTCTCTAGTTTCTTTCTTTCTTTTTCTTTCTTTCTTTTTCTTTCTTTCTTTTTCCATGTTTCTTGCTTTCTTG